ATTTTAAATAAAGTTAAATCCTAATTACAATGGATTTCAACAACATGAATGACTGGATAGGCATTCAACTTGGAAATGTAGGAATGTCCCACATTATATGGGAGTGCTTTGCACAATTGCTAAATGTCTAGCAAATCTTGAGTCCTACTCATCAAATGGCAAAAAAAAAAAATATTAATCATTGTGAGATTCAACAAATACCCGCAGCGTTACGCATTACAATCCTTCCCTCACTTTAAAAACCACCATTGAAACAGGCAAAGTGGCACATGCCTATAGTCCCAGTTACCAGGGAGGCTAAAGCAAGAGGATCACGATTTCAAGGCCAGCCCTAGGCAACTTAGCGAGATCGTGTATCAAAAACTTAAAGTAAATTAATTAATTTTAAAATAATAAATTTAAAAAATGAAAATAATTGGAGGGTGGCACGATCTGAGCAGTAGTTAGGGTTGTGCCTGCCTGGGGTCGTTGGAGGTGGGTGCCAGTGGTCATGAGGGGTAGAGAGCTCTGGTTCCCTGGCTACCATCTGTAAGCTGTCTCCATGTCCATCTTCACCCCTAGCAACCAGATCCACCTGACAAAGTGGCAGCAGTTGGTATGAAGCACACGGGTAAGTGCTTTGAGATCACCTGTTACAAGAACAAGAGAAAGAGACCTTGATGAAGTCCTGCAAACCCACTCAGTGTTTGTAAATGTTTCTAAAGGTCGGGTTGCAAAGAAGGAAGATCTCATCAGTGCATTTGGAACAGATGACCAAACTGAAATCTGTAAGCAGATTTTGACTAACGGAGAAGTTCAGGTATCAGATAAAGAAAGGCACACACAGCTGGAGCAGATGTTTAGGGATATTACAACCATTGTGCAGACAAATGTGTCAACCAAGAAACAGAGACCATATACTGTGATCCTTATTGAGAGAGCCAGGAAGTACATCCACTATTCAGTCAAACCCACCAAGAGTATAAAGCAGCAGGCTTTAGAAGTGATAAAGCGGCTAAAGGAGAAAAATGAAGATCCATGTGCTCACATGAGGCTGGGTTCATTCTTCCAGTGAATGAAGAGAAGGAGCTGAAGGATAAGCTCAAGCCATTGATCAAGGTTATAGAAAGTGAAGACTACAGCCAGCAGCTAGAAATCGTGTCTTCTTGACCCAGGCTACTTCCAAGAAATTGATAGGCTAATTTAAAAAAAAGGAAACAAAGGCAAAGTTTCTTTGGAAGTACTTAATTTGAAAGCCATGGAAGAAGGAGATGAGAATTTGAATGACATTCATCAGTCTCTTTGGCTATAAAACACTAAAGCAAATGTTTCTGTTTCTGATACCACTGTTTTATTTCTGTGATTTGCCAAAAAAAAGCAAAACTTACTCAGTTTGACATTTCCGTCTTGTGTTAATGTGTACCTATAAAGATTTCCTACATGAGTATAATGTGGGAATAATTTTGTTTTAATTTTAAATTGGTGTTCTAAGCAAAAATGAAAACTCAAAAGTACCAGGTCCAGAGGGTCATTTTGCTGCTGTTTCATGTCTTAATAGCTTTCCAAAATGAAAGCTACTTGAGACAACTCTTAAGGCTAAAAAGTTAAGTTTTGACATTATATAAGTAAAATTATTTGGTGAATATGTCTTTATGGTAAAAAGAAGTATCTAATAGAAAAGGAAATGTGTCTTGTTTCTATGTAATACAGTCTGAAGGTAACTATAGTGTCTGTAAAGCTTGGACGGTGACTTCCTGGTTATGTGAAAATAGGTATGTGATGATTGCAGGACTAAATAAGATCATTGAACAGGTTGCTATAACTTGGATTATTCTTGATAAAATATAAAGTATATTTTACCATATATTTATATTTATATTTTATATATTTATATTTTACCATATATTTACAATATATTTCTAATTTAAAAGTTATAATATATATTAATATAGTTAAAATTATGTGTAATAAAACTACTATTTTTTTATTAAAGAAAAAGAATTGGAGATGTAGCTAAGTAGTAGAACACTTGCCTACCATGTGTGAGGCTCTGGGTTCAAATCCCACTACCATAAAACTGTGTATACATACATACATACATACATAAAATAAATTTTAAAAAGGGGTCAGGGAGGTAGTTCAGTGGTAAAGCATTCCTGGCTCAATCTCCAGTATATAAAAAAAAAAAAAACAGTGGGGGTGAGGGTGGTGGAGAACCACCATTGAAGATCTGTCTATGGAGAAAGGAGGATGTAAGGGTCTGGCGGAGCGTCCGAGAAAGAGACCACACAAGAGACTGGCTCCATGCTTGGCAAAAGGGGATTTACTGGGGATCCATTCCAGCGCGCTGGGGCCCCGAGAGCAGCCCGGAGCCCCGAGCAGGGGTTCAAACAGAGCTTAAGTACATTTTTTGGGGAGGGCGGGAGGCTTTGCATACATCAGAACAAATCATCATGAGGCGCGGGAAAATTGAACAACAACTCTAAGACGTGATTGGCACATTCATTGGCGGGAACCGGCCAGGCAGGGGTGATTGGTCACTCCTAAGCAGGGTACACATTCAAACTGATTGGTTCGGGCCCTGTGACAAACTGCACAGGGCCCTAGGCTAAATGGCCAGTAGGGCGTTCTCTTAACTATCTCAGGAATCTGGGTGTAACAGAGGAACTTAATAATACCTAATTTTAATTCAAGCTTTCCAGGTAAGAAACTTTACCCTTTCAGAGGATTCCTATAAGATCTAGGAAACATGAAAGCAGAAACTGACCAAGGTGACTTGAGGCTAAAAAGTTAAGTTTTGACATTATATAAGTAAAATTATTTGGTGAATATGTCTTTATGAGTGGAGGCATATCCAGAAAAAGGAAGCAAGAAGAGGCAGGACTCATGTAGGATATTTCTTCCTTTTGGGGTCTGTGGCAGGGCAGGGGCAAGTGCTGGTAATTGGACATAGGGTCTCAAGGCTAAGCAGATTGCAACCCCAACCCTTAGTTTGAAGATCTTTGTTGTTGTTGTTTTCATTTTTTAATTAATTTTTTAAATTTATATATGACAGCAGAATGCATTACAACTCATATTACACATAAAGAGCACAATTTTTTATATCTCTGGGTGTTTACAAAGTATATTCATACCAATTCATGTCTTCATACATGAACTTTACATAATGATGACCATCACATTCCACCAAAGATATGGAACACTTCACGGATTTGTATGTCTTCCTTATGCAGGGGCCATGTTAATCTTCTGTATTTCGTTCCAATTTTAGTATATATGCTACTGAAGCGAGCACTAGTTTGAAGATCTTAATTCTCTTTGTGATTCTAGAATTGAGCAACACTTTATTTCATAGAATATAGTAAGTGTTCCTATGGGTTGAGCAGAAGAGTTTTGTTTTATAGGCAAAAAAATCTTTTGTTTCTAAAGAAAGAAGAAACAAAAGAACAAAAAGCAGATTGGTCATTTCAAAAGTTACTTTCTTCTACTAAACAGTGGCATCAGGAGTCAAAATCATAGAAAAATAATTGGTTAGTATCAGGTTATTTCAGGCTACTTCTTTTGTGTTAAGCATTAAAGCAGAGAAATCTTCATTATCCTGCTAATTGAAACTGGCCTCTTGGGAACTTTGGCAGGTATCTTTCTAATCCTGGTTTCTCAGAAAATCATATAAACAGCTTAGTTTTGGCTGGTGATATGTGAGTAAAAAACTCCATTTTTATCTGTTGCCTGGTCTGTTGGGGCCTAGTGTAGAAGTTTAGTTCAAAATGATGGCCTCTGATAGTTTTTATTTAACTAGTTTAATAAGGAATGCACTTGCCACACCTGAATTGCATATATATAAATTAAAAATTTGAACCAGTTTCCAGAGATTCTATTTCCAATCAGACAGTAACCAATCCCTAATGACTATTTCAGTTGGGTTGGGGGGGGGCGGGAAACCAGATAAACTATCATTGCTTGAAACAGAGAAAATCTTTCAACTAATAAGATGTTCATGAAGTTCAAATTCAGCTTTTCTTTCCCATGAACAGTGTTAAATGCATTGCCAATATTTGCTGCTTTGAGGGTCCTGTTTTCCTAAACTAGTTACTCCCTTGAATCAAAGCAATATTTCCTCAGATTACAATCATTGATCAAATCAGGAGTTTTGCCAATCAAGAAAAAAATCCCAAAGCCAAGGAAACATTCTGCCATTTCCCACTGGATTTAATTCATTGAATCCCCACAAAATTATCTTATTTTCCTTGTTTTTCAGATTCTAGGTTTCAGGACCACTTACTTTTTCCTACATATATGACTTACACTCTCTTTAGGGAAGAGTCCTACCACCTATTAAAATTGCTCACTTCTGGTCAGTTTCATGCACATTCATTGTGAAACATCTGCTAAGCACCTATCAAGTGCATAGTACCAATTCCTGTGTAAAATGTGTAAGTCATGCCTTCTTTTCAAGGACTCATGGTCCCCAAGACAGGCACATACAGAAGTCACAGAAACACATGGAAGATAATGAGAAGTGCTATATTAGACTAAGGAACAAACTATACGTGTTTATGTTGTGGGGAGGGATCTCAGAACACTTCCTGAAGGAGATGGACTTGGAACTGGGAAGGGCAGGCCTCTGATAAGAAGCTGAGAAGGGAGTGAGCTGGCGGAGAGTGGAAAAGTCATTGGTTTTACTTGATCCCCCAACCCCCTGCTCCTTTTTGAATAACTACCAATAGATTCACAGTATGTTTCTTTTTAATCAAATTTGGGGAAATAGAAAAGGAAAGGTAGACTGAGTCTCAAAAGAAATGCTCATGACTCATGACTTTACCTGCAAAATTTAACATTGTGCAAGAAAAATTTGCACAAAATTATATAACTCTGCTCTGACTCCACCTCTGGTCCAGTCCCTTGTGATAGTAAAAGCAAATATGACTCCATTCTGTAAAACAACCATGACAAGTAGAATGGTCATGACTGGGGCAAGATGTTCTTTTCCTTTTGCTATAGAAACCTTTAAGAACCCAGAACTACCTAATGGGGCATTGTTTCTGTAACTAGGGTAACGGGGCTCTGTTTCTGTAATTGGGGTGATTGGGCTAACTGTGATTGGTTAGGCTTCCCACTTTGGTAACTTGGATTGCTTGCACTGGCTAGACCCCTGAACATCCCTTTTGCGGTTTTCAAGCTTATAAGGAGCACCCTTGCAATTGTTCGGGATGATCAAGGAAACAGCTTTACGTTCTGGTCAGTCACCACAGTGTGCTTCAATAAAGGCTTGATTTGATTATACATGAGCAGCCTGGAAGTCAGTTTATGAAACCCTGGGACAAAACTTTAACTATAACACCCTAGCACTCATTCCTCTATAAATATTTACACCCTACACCAATGGGTTGCTGTCTTTCCCTCTGGAGATAGCCTGCATTCTCCCTTGAATGTGCTTTTGCTTCTCAAAATAAACCTTTGTCTGTGTCTCTCACTGGGTGTGTTGAAGTCCTTTTCTATCCAAAATGCCAAGAACCCCATTGTCCTGAACTGGGAACTCATTGAGAGACCTCCCTTCTCCAGAGGCATCTCTTCTCCTATGATATCACTACAACCAACTTTAAACCATCACAGAATCTGTGATATATGAACAAGCACTTACTTAATAGCCCTTGACACCCCAGATAAAACCCTTCTGGGCCACTTGAAAGCAGCAGACACCAATCAGCAGATTAAAAGAACCTTGAGGTCATCTCCCTTCTGATTCTTTTGACTGAAAACGATCCTGTATTTGGTCTCTGGTCTGGTAACTGTTAACATCATCTTTCTTCATTTTCTTCTAAGGGATATTCCCCATTTACTAGACTCCCTTATCAGGTATGGTATATGAAAGGAAACCACATATTCTTTGCTTCTCCTTTCACTGAGAGTCTGATTCCTTACTTCTTCAATCTGGGCTGAACAAGTAACTTGCTTGACCAATATAACATGGCAGAAGTGACATTCCAGGACTTCAGGTCACATCAAAGGAAACTTCCACCTTCTACCCAAGACTCTGAAATATTTCCTTGGGAAGCCCTGAGTTGCCAAAAAGTCCAACTGCCTTGAGACTGTGTTGTTCAAGATGCCACTTCTGTTAACAGTCTCAACTGAGCTCAGTCTTCCAGCCACCCCCACCAAGGCCCCAGACATGGGAACAAAGCTGTCTTGAGCCCCCCAGATCAGCCCACCTACCAAATGAATGTCATCATATAATTTTTTTATCAGTGACACATGAAATAGAAGAATTATCTAATGGAACACTGCCCAAATGTAGTGAAACAAATAACACAAAACTGTGAGATACACAGCAGAACCCTTATTCATGATTTCACTTTCCATGATCAATAATGGTCAGGAAATATCAGATAGAAAATTCTAGAAATAAACAATTCATAAATTTTGCAGTCTATTGTTACAATTGTTCTATTTCATTATTAGTAATTAATCTCTTACTGTGCCTAATTTATAAATTAAACTGTACTCATTTACTTATTTATTTGGGGATTGAACCCAGGAGCGCTCTACCACTGAGATCCAGTGGTTTTTGCTTATTGGTTTTTGCTACTTGCCAAAGCTAGCCTTGAACCTGTGATTCTCCTACCTCAGCCTCCTTAGTTGCTGGAATTACAGGCATGTACCACCATGCCTGGCTATAAATTAAATTTTATTGCAGATATATATATATATGAAAAACCATGTATACATAAAATTTGATCTGTTTTGAGGTTTCACACATCCACTGGGGGTCCTGGAATGTACTACCAGAGATAAGGGAGGACCATTGAAATAAAATGATTGTTCTAAGTCATTAAATTTTATTTATTTATTTATTGGTAGTGGGGATTGAATCCAGGGCCACTTCATCACTAGTTTCATCCCCAGTCTTTTTTTTTTTTAATTTTGAGAAAGGGTCTTGCTAAATTGCTTGCTGAGCTTGAATTTATGATACTCCTGTCTCAGCCCCCTGAGTCACTGTGATTATAAGCAAGTGCCACCATACCCAGTTTAAGTCATATAAATTTTGAGCATTGGTACAATTCAGACAAATGTTCCCCAAAGGCCCATGTGTTAAAGGCATGGTCAGCAGCATGTAATATTATTGGGATATGGTAGTGTAACTGATTTTGACCCCCAAACTAAAGGAAGATTGATTGATTTTTATTAATTATTATTAGGATTGAACCCAGGGTTGCTTTACCACTATGTCACATCCCCAGCTCTTTAATTTTTTATTTTGAGACAGGATCTCATTAAGTTGCTCAGGGCCTCGCTACACTGCTGAGGCTGACCTGGAATCTGCAATCCTCTTTCCTCAGCCTCCAGAGTCACTGAGAATACAGGCATGCCACCACCACACCCAGCTAAGGAAGGTTTATTTTTAACCAAAAATAAGAGAAACAGGGAGAAAAGGTCACAGATCAGCTTCTCAACGCCTTGGGGGCTAGGACATTATAAATACAGGGTAAAAGAAAATGAGAGGAAGGGCTGGGGATATGGTTCAGTGGTCGAGTGTTTGCCTGGCATGTGTG